GACGGTCAAATGTTAATCTCATACAAATTATAGCGTTTTTGAGAAGTGTTCCGTTTTTCAATTTTTTTTTCATAAAATTGATAAAAAAAATTTTCATGTGAAAATTTGATTGGACAATTAAATGTGTTCTTAGTAAATTTATTTGTAGCTTATTTTTTTAAATTAAAGGAGAAATGTTTGAAATGATTTTATCGAAAACAAAATGTTAACAATTATAAAGACAAGTTTAGTCTAGACATTAATATAGAAGTATCATGAAAGCGCAAGATTTTACCTGGTCATAATTTCCATAGTAAAGGGCGGGGGATTTGAAGAAACAATAACTCCAGGACCCTATTTTTAGATATCGTTGAGGGAAATTTTTTTTAGATACAGAAAATATATTTACCTTATTCTCTCTTGCAATTTTTACTAAAATTCTATTCCGTGGTGTTGTTAAATATTCTGATTTAGATCGATTTTTAAAAATGATCCGATTTAAATTTTAACCGAAATAATATTATATAAGCCTGGGGATATTGCTCCTAGATGGCAGAAAGATTTATACGCTATTTATCAAATCTCACATAGTATTATTTTGGCTATAATCTTAATCCGGCTGTTTTAAAAATCGATTCAAATAAGGTTTTTATCAATACTAATGAGTGAGTAGGCGCATTCTTATTTGATTTTGTATGATGATGCAAATGTCATTTGATGTCTTTTTTATAAATCAAAATACTTTTTATCTTATTAATTTTAAGAATTTCTTTATACTTTTAATTCGATTTATAATATCTTTAAGAATTTGATAATCAGAATTCATGATGCAGATATAGTATATTGGTAATAAATAATCTGTATATCTTAAATGGTTTTTCAAACAAATTTGTGATTTTTTTAACACTTTATACATTTTTTATTTCATATTATTAAAAAAACGGAATATACATCTTTGCCATTTTATTTTTAATTTTTTATTTATCCACAGAAAATTGTAAATGATAATTTTTAATTTGGAAGCGGGCATCACTAACCTTTACAATCTCAGTGGACTCAAAAAAATTTTAAAATTGAAAATAAATATGTAAATTTGTAAACAATTTTAAATAATACGAAATAGGATTTAATTGTTTTTTGGAAAATAAATTAGTATTGTTAAGATTTATAAACATGTATATCTCTCATGTTTCTAATTATTTTCATTGTGTTTATTATAAACAAACTAAAAAATCATTAAAAAAACTTTAATAATTTTCTGCAAAAATTTTATTTCGCTAATTTTACTGTTATAATAATTTTTGCCTTATCTTGTTGCTTACCCAATTGAGTCGGATCCAAACTTACACATCGAAACAGAATCGCACGATAATCATAGAAATATTTTTTTTATATACAATGAATGACCATAGTATTAGGATGATTTCCTTAAATATAAGATCGCTAAGTGACAAACTCACAATTCTTAGGCAAACTATAAATGATCAACGATACGACATCCTCCTTCTACAAGAAACTCATTTGAAAGAAACGGAAGTAAGAAATCTCTTAGAATACACCTTATACTGCAGCTCGAATGCTGAACATGTTTGGGCAGGTGTAGCAATCTTAATCCATAACAAACTAATTAAATATGTAAGCTTTAATCCAATTTCCAGTCGCATTTGCTGTCTTACCTTAAATATTGGTTACTCACCTGTTCAATATTTATTCACCACATAATAATAAAGTTTTTTACATAGAGCTGGAAAATATCTTAAAAGAACTACCTCATCGAGATAGTATCATATTAGCTGGCGATTTCAATGCCTCGGTTGGGAAGCCTAACAATTCTACCTGCCTCGGGAACGCCACTCTAGTACAAAGTACGAACACTAATGGCAAAAAACTAATAGAAATTTGTGAACACTTCAATTTGAAAATAGGAAATACCTTCTTCAATCATCCTAACCATCACACCATGACCTACAAAAGCCCATCTTTTGGCACTACCTCACAAATTGATTTCTTTGTAATTTCCAACAATATATTTAAGTAGGTGAAGGACATCAAAGTCGTCAGCAAACTGAACTTCACCTTATTTACGGACCATTACCCACTAGGATGCGAGCTAAGGATAAAAATAGCATTTTTCCAAACCGAAATCAACATAGCCACCTTAACTCTACACACTTCATAATGAGGAAAGACGCACAGCTGAATGATCCAAAAGGAAGAGTTCATCACCAATCTAACAACATGGAGAAACACCCAAAATGGCATGATCAATCCTAATATAACTTGGAAGGATATGAAACTAAGTTTATCAAGCTGTATGAATTCATGCTTAAGACCACGAATTAAGCGTAAAGAATGGCTATCCCCTTCAACAATACAGATAATTAAAAACTTAACAACAAATATCTCCTATAACCAATATACTAAACACCACAGAAGGTACATAACTCACTGCATAAGAACAGATAAAAGATATTTTATTGCCAACTTATCTAGATCCATACAATATAGCTTTGACAACAATAATATTTACAAGGCTTTCCAATCTCTTAAGTTACTCACTACCTTTAAATCCAATCCTCTACCAAGATTACACATTGAAAATAATAAAATTATAACGGACCCCAGGGAACAATTAGCGATATGGACAGACCATTACATGAACCTTTACAGAACAAGGTGGCCTAAACCATTATGTGACTATCCTTTCCAACCACCTAATCGGAACCTGAACAGAATAGATATAATCAATGCCATTAAAAGACTAAAAACCCATAAAGCAGCCGGAATCGATGGGATTTTTGCGGAACTTTGGAAGATAGATGCTGATTTAAGTGCTAGTCTACTGCTTCCCCTCTTTAATGAGATATGGAATACTGGCAATTTCCCAGAGGAATGGATGACCTCGATAATACTTAATTTCCCTAAAAATAAGAACCCGACTAGCCTGAAGGACTATAGAGGAATTGCACTGATCCCAGTTACCCTAAAAATGTTCACGTATATTATAGCCGTCAGGATTAAACCAATCATCGATAGAAACCTCTCAAACGCCATCACATCATATAGGAAGGGCAGGAACACGACGGAACTAACCATGGCGCTTAAGGTTATTCTGGAGAAAGCTAGAATGCATAAGTCCCCAATATTTGCCCTAATGATTGATCTAAGTCAAGCCTTTGACTCCATCATACAGCATAAGATCTGGCCCTTACTGGAGGACATAGGAATAGATAAACATCTGATTTCGCTTATAAAAATAATATACGATAATCATAACGTGATACCACAACATCTGAACTTAAAATCACAACCATTTAAGGCCAACAGAGGACTGAAACAAGGATGCATTTTATCACCTATGCTATTTAATGTAATAATGAACGATATTCTGAATAAATCCTTCAAACAAGAACATGCTCTTAACCCTCGATATCTGAATCAACAATATGATAATAACATACACAACTCTCTAAATTTTCTATGCTATGCCGATGATGTATGCATATTAGCTAACTCTGAGTACAAATTAAGAAACTTGCTGTCATTGTTTGTCAAAAATTGCTTTGGATACGGACTGAAAGTCAACTACTCAAAGACAAAGTTAATTGTATCCAATATCCCTCTATATAACAGCGACCCCTTTAACTTTGAGGATAATGTGGTAGATACGGTCTCGGATTTTAAGTACCTAGGAACCAGAATAATGTCATTAGGCACCACCATTTTGGATACTAAGTCGAGGACCAACAAGGCCAGATCCCGATATCATCAGCTAACTAAATTATGGTCGTCCAACCAGATATCTACGAACCTAAAAATAAGACTCTTTAAATCCCTAATTCTACCCATCTTAACATACGGGTTGGAAACATGGCAGGACACTAAAAGCAACATCAACACATCCCAGACCTTCATAAACAAGTGCTTGAGAAGAATCACTAAAACTTACTATCCATACAACACCCCAAACACAACTCTCTGGAACAGGTGTGACATCCTACCTATCAAACGACTCATTCCTTTGAGGAGATTAGAATTACTCGGCCACTGCTTAAGACATTCACGAGATAATATGATATTTTCGTCCATGGAGTGGACCCCGGATTATGAAAGGCGAAGAATCCCCAAATACTATTGGCTGGCAAAATGTCTGAAGGACATGGACTTGATCAATCTTACGTTTATAGATTTTCTTGCACTCAGCAAAAACAAGAAACATTTAAAGGAACATCTACAATACATGCTTAAATATGGTTTAAACTAGAGCAGGAATCGTGGACGTATCAGACTATTTCTCGCACTGCCTTATTTCCAATTGCTTATCCCCAGTCTAATGACAACTTATGTTTTGGCGCAATAGGAATTATGGTTTAAAAAAAAAAGAAAAAAAAAGAGATGAGATGAGATAAGTATAATTATTATTTTATTTTTATTTTTTTTTCTAAATTTCCCCCTCCCCTTTATAACACCCTTTTTCCTTTCCCTACTGGATAAACGATTTTTGACGAAGTCAATTTATATCTTAAAACCATGAATATTAATAATGATAACGATCTCCAGGCTCAATATAATAATGATAATAGTGAATAACATGGATTCTATAGACATTGCGTTATCTTCCAAGGATATACTTACCAAACATTAAGAAATTTTTTTTTCCCATCTCTTAAATCTAACCAGGTGTCAGGTACATTATTATTATTAATATTAGCTACAATTCTTAACACTATTTTGCCGGTAACGGAACTAATAGATCCCCTCTTTCTTACTCCTCTCTTCTTTACTATGCTAGCTGACTACATAGTGGTACCGTCCACTATAATAAAACGGGTATACATCATGTATAGGATCTATATACTAGTGAATATACATGGTGCACGCTACAACTCCTGGTGGGTGATGAAGTTGCACTTCGTGCAATTTCTGGCGTGGTAATGAATGAATGAATGAAATTTTAAAATTATTTACAAAATTATGTTTTTTTAGCTAACATAATCTAAAATTACTTTTTTTAGGCCATATGATTGGCCAATTTATCCATTCATTAAATGATTAGAAAATTGGAGTTAACTTTAGCTGTGCTTAAACCCGATATTCTTTCCAAACGTTATGTTAAAGAGGTTTGATATTTTAGCAAAGTAGATTAAATTATTTTTTAAGGAAATTAAGAAAATTATTTTAAAAAATAATTTCTATTTTATAAAATCAAAAACCTTTAAACCAACAAGAGATTCAATGGAAAAATTTTATTCAATGCACAAGGGTATTTTAATGTAATTAACTATTATATTTTATATTAAGAAAAAGATTTTTACCCACGATTAATAGATTACATGGCTAGGTGGTTATATATAATTTTTTAATCCTTATTAATATATAGTGCTCCAATATCTTCCTATATATTAGCAAGAGAAAATGCCATAGTTAAATGGAGAGAACTTATCGGTCCAACCAAACATGATAAGTAGTTTTATAAATCATTGAAAAATTATAAATATTTTAATAAGAGCTATATATGAAGCCCCTACATCAATTAGGGGAAGATATGGAATATCTGACACAAGAAATGCTGTTCATGGTTCAGGTTTATAGGCAAATTATTGTTATATTTTATAATTATGTTAATAAATTTTTATTGAATCACATTTGCTTAATAGTGAATTAATATATTAATTATATATGGAAAGTATTTAAGGGATAAATTTATTATATAAATCAGCTAAGATAATAATTATTTTTCATGCTTTCTGGTTATGCAAAACTTATATACATATTGCCTGATTTTCTTAAATTAGTTTTTAATCTATTTATAATTTTAGATTCTTTAGAATCAGCTTTAACTGAAATTAAATTCATGTTTCCTGAATTTCACCCTGAAATGTGGTTTAAGATGGAAGAACCATTATTTAGAAAAGGTCAAGACATATTATATGATTCAGAACTCGAAGTTCATTATTTAAATAAGTCTAGTCATTATATGTCAACAAGCATTATTCGACCTTCAAATCAATGAAAAATTCACCTGATATTTTAAATCTATTTTCACGATTTATATATATATATATTTATGAATAAATAAAATTAATACTTAAAATTTCCAAACAAATAATTTTGAATTTATTAAATTATAAAAAAAATTATCAAGATTTAAAAAAATATCATAATACTTATAAAATTATGTTATTTTTAGCAAATAGCACTATTGTATATTTACATAAATACTCAAGATTATTATTATTTTATATTTTTAACTCATAATTGTCCTCCTTATAACAGTATTTTTTTTCCATAAAATTTTTATATTGATAAAAAAATTTCAACAATTCTTTTGAATTAACTTTAATATATTCAATCCAAATTCATTATTCATGCTCAAAAATTTATATATAAAATTACTAAAACAATTTTTTTTAAAATTATAAAATAGAGTTTGACAATATTGTATAATAGCATAGTAATTACAAAATTATAACATTATTTTTTCTGAATTAATTGATAATTTTATATCATAACATTTTTGTAAATAATGAATATCAATAAACGATATCCAACCACATTTTTTACAATTAAGGATTAATATATTGTGGTGTAATATAAATGTATTCCTTTTCAATTGTTGTAGTGTTTCTAGTGCTAAAATATAATATTAGTATAGAAACTATGAAGACCACTATGGCACCCATTAAAATTTTCATCTTAAGGTTTTTCCACCAAAATTTTCGTTTGAGATATTTAGTACTTTTCTCGAATTTATTGGCACTTTGACAGAGTTTAACGGATTTCTCTTCTAGAAGAGATAGGCTTTCTTGACGTCTCATAAGTTTCTCCACGTTATCTCTGACCACAACAATTACATCATCAACCTTTTTTTGCCATTTGATAATTATTTTAATTTTTTGATTACTATAATAGCTATATAAATATTTATTAATTATACAATCATTATAACAATTGGCTTCAGAAGATTGAGGGTGGGGTATTGCAACAACCCAAATGGTTAATAATGGGTAATGGCTCCACTGCATTATAAAAGAATATAATATAATTGAAATTGGCATTTATAACCTAATAAATTTTATACCTGACTTGATATTGAAGTAACAAAATCGGAATTATCTGTATAAAGAATTATATTAAGTAAGCTTACCCGGTTATTCAGTAATCAGAATTACCTAATGAATTTTAATTCATCGATCATCATATATGATGTTTATTTGTTTAAGTTTAAATTTAAAGAAAGAAATTTGTAATGGGGGGAAAAAATGCAAATCAAATCATAATGTTATTAAGTTATCCAAATGGATGAAAACAAAAATTACATTAGGTTAGAATAAGATTATTACAATGAATTACAGATAAAATATTTATTTTAAGTGAACCACTTTCCAGGGATGATAAAAAAAATCAGCCTTTAAAGTAGCGCAAAATTAAATTAGATTGTGCAACTTATTTTAAAACTATTTCTAATTAGGGGGGATTAGACACTTAAAAAACGATTTTTTTGGCCCGAGCTTGCCCGCGGCCGGCCATTTTTTAGATCTAAGCCAGGCCCAGGGCCCATTGTGACCTAAGGCCTTAATTTAATTTTTAAAAAAAGCTTAAAGGAAAGAAATTTCAAGGTCAAACTATTTATTTTAATTAATCTTAAATGTTATTCATTAAATTTAAATATTCAGAATAACATTTAATAATTTAAAATTATATTTAACAATTTTATTCTTATTTAATGCAAAATATGATAATCAATTTTAATATTTAGTGCCTCCTTATTTTTTTATTTTTTTAAAATTCTTTTTTATAATTGTGATAAACAATCAGGCACCGATAGGAATCTTTTTACCAGTTCAGCTTTCCCCGCTATAATCAAAAACATTTTGCACAAGTTGTCCAGCTCAGCTGGGCGGTTCCATTCTCTGAAGCTATCTTAAATGAGTCAGCAAGGGAAAAAGGGAAGGTCAAAAACGAAATCCCATCCCAACATGTTATAAAGATTTTAAATGAAGTTATATTATTTTAAAATAACTATTTAAAAACTTAAGGTCAATTATATTTATGATTTTTTTTTAGAAAAATAGATTCTTATAAAATTAAAAACAGGGGCTCGGGAACAAAGACATTTTTGGATTCCTGTTCTGACAAGAAATTATGTTTCTGAATTCCTAAAAATTTCATATTTTATTTCTAGTCTATTCATATACAATTATTCATTCCTTATAAGCGTAAGTTTATAAGATGATAAAAACATTGTTGATAAAAGTTTGAAAATTAATAATCTCTCCAATTGATGAAACCAAATGAAGCAGATTCACGCGATTGGTAGATGGAAATTGAAAATCGAGAGGTAGTTGGGAAATCGAAAATATTTCACACTTGGATATGTTTGAAGAAATGCCAAGTAAGAGACTCCAAGCTTTTGATTATATCTCGGATTTTATGATGTTTTGGAGGCAGTAGCAATGTGAGTGACATAATAAGGGTATCATAATAAATCTATATTGTTCGGGTCTTGTATGATATTTTTTATGCTTAGGCGAAAAATGGCAGGCCCTAGTGGTTCGCCATGTTGGATGCCTTTCCATGATTGAATAGTATAAGTGCCATATTGAAGTCATGTTGGATTCTCGTAACCATTCTCAATATATGATGTACATTAAGGAAATTTCTTGATTAAATAAGGTCATTGTTTAAATCAAAATTAACTAAGTGATGTGTCTTGTTCAAAATAATCTAGTAAAATTATTGTGGCATGAGAAGTACTTTCACAACAATCCTTGACACCAAAGCCCGATTGATAGGATTGCAAAGGTGTAGATAGGCTCTCTTTGATCCTGGAGCATATTATTTTTAATGTAATCCTACTTAACACTGAACCAATAGTAATTTAGCGTATTTATCTATTGGACTTTAAAGCGAAATTAATTTAACCCCAAATAATACAGGAATAACTGCGGAGTTTACGATTGCATAAGATGATTATAGTAAAAAAAAAGGATTTTAAAAAGAACGAAGGATTTATTAATAAAAAAAATCTTGTTCACGAACCTCACTTTGTAGATCCAGACAATTTTCCAAAATTGGAATCGACAGCATAGTGGATTCCTTTGATCTAGATTCATTTACAACTGTTATTTATTACATAGATCAGCTTCATACAAAAAAATGCTTCAATATTTTACATTATCTTTTAGATTTTGAAATATCGGCTCCTGGGTAACCCATAAAAGTTTCGTCTATTTTAAGGACTAATAATGAAGACAATTTCTTAATATCTACTATACTTACAAAGAATACAAATAGAATTAAATATTTGATTTACAATTCAAATACTAAATTCTTTGAAAATATTTTCAAAAATGAAAAATAAAATAAAATGGACTATAAAAATTTAAAAAGATTGATTTTTAATATATGGAAAAAGTAATTAATAAGTTCCACAAGGAAAATGTTAAAAGAAAAATTTCAAATATTTACAATTATTTAATATTGTGTGAATAATTTTAAATTCTACGATTAATTTCGAATAATTCGATCGAATAATAAACAAAAAATGATTCCACAGATAATATATTTTTCTTATTCTTATTTGCTTTGAATTTTTTTATTCGTATTTATAAAATAAGAATTGAATCGTATAAAATTGAATAATAAATAATTCGTATTCGGTATAATACCTATCACTTTGGCACAATTATTGCATTTTAAAAGCTATAGTTTGTTGTTTCTTTGAATTATTTGATTGGAATTTTTTTTGGTTTTGCAGATTAGATTATTGACAGAGTTGATAACGCTCCTTGTTAAAAGTAGCTAGTTCCCGCTCCCGCTTCTACCTTCTCAAAAGGAGCTAGCTTCCGCTTCTACCTTCTCAAAAGGAGCTAGCTCCCGCTTCTACCTTCTCAAAAGGAGCTAGCTTCCGCTTCTACCTTCTCAAAAGGAGCTAGCTCCCGCTTCTACCTTCTCAAAAGGAGCTAGCTCCCGCTCCCGTTACTACATTTTTGTAAGGAGCTAGCTCTTGCTCCAAGTAATGGAGTGCCACTCCATAACCGCTCCTTTAATACATTTTTTTAGAAGGTACACGAAACAAAATCATATTTTTTTTATTAAAAAGTTTTATAAAATATTTATAATCTTTTATTAGCCTTTAAAAGTATAAATTTTCTATAGAATCTAACAAACATCCACGCCTCTCCCCTAAGACCTGTTTTGCAATACTAAATAAGCGCTCCATAGGAGCACTAGAGGGAAGCGGGGTATTGTATTTTATATGAACAATGAGAAAATTAAAATAAATATTAAAATATATTTAAAAAAGCATCATATCTAACAACCCAAGCTCAACTATAATGAATTGCCCAAAAATAATTTATTACCATAAAAATATTATTCCAAAATAAAAAAAATATAGTTGTCATTTCGTAAAGAAAGATTTTTTAATTTTAGATACTTTTTTAGACTGGAGCTGCTCAATTTTGAAAATGAAATACCTTTATTTAAACACAAAAGGCATTGTACCCTTAAATTTCTTTGATCATTTGGATCAACATCTTTTAGAAGTATAATATATTTTTTGTATGATGGAAATGGAAATTCGATTTCTTCTTCTATGATCTCAAATCCATAATATTGAAAACTATTTTTTATTATATATCTATAAAATGAATATTAATATGATTTACAAGATTTTCCCAAAATTTTCAATAAAAGATTAGAAGAAAAACCAATATAAAACTCAGCTCAACATTTAATAATGGATAAATTTAAATAAAATAAAATTTCATTTTTATCAAATTTTAATTAACAAATTTTAATTAACAAATATTATTAATATTTAAAAAATAATTTAAATTATACCATAAATTTAAAAGAGTGGTGGAGCGGCGCTCCTCCACTCCAACCCTAAAAGGAGCTAGCTCCCGCTCCCACTCCTCATTTTTAAAAAGGAGGGGCGCTCCAAACAACTCTGGTTTGAGAGTATTGCATTGATTAAAATTTGGTAAGAAAAACAAGCAAATTAGACTAAGAATATACCAGAGCATTCTAAGCGTTTGAGAAATAAAATAAATAAAAAATATATAATTCATTATATAATTCATCTACCATAAAATTTGTACATTATTCCGAATCAATACTAATAGTCTATAAAAATTTAATGTGCAAACGTTCGAAATGTTGAAAAATGTTTTATAATTTATTTCGAAATGCTTAATCTTTACCTTACTATTTTTTAACATTAGCGCTCTCGAACACCCAAACTCTAGAACGCTTAGGTATGTTCTTAGCCGCCTTAGGCCTCCTTTATATTAAATGCGTATTGCTCAAACGATGCGACACGTATGGGTATTTTTCAAAGGCAAGCAAATAATAGGTAAAATTCATGATGACTGCTAATGCGATAAAATGAATTATCAATAAAGATTATAATTTTTACCCAATATTTACTTACTTTTGACCCAGTGTTATGTGTTACATCGCTTGAGCGATACGCGCTTATTATAGACAAGGCCTTACACTGCGTTACTTCGTTGCGGATTTGTGCTAACTGTGC